CCTGACAGCTACCAAACTTTGCAAGTATTTTCAGTGGAAAGGAAATGATTCTGCAAAAGCCAGGTCATTTGCTTGAAACTGCACTAAAACCCCTTCTGATAAGCTGACCGATGTAACCAAAAAGTCTTCCGAAGCACCTCTTCTGAACTGAATCTGAAGCATTGCGCAGCCTTCTAGAGGCCTGTCACTCAGCAGCTGGCTGTGTCTACTTCTAAACCTAATACTCATTTTTGCATTGCTGCACTTCCTTGCCTTATATTTCTTGTGCCTGCATACCCCAGTGACCGATACGGTAACACCAAAACCAGGAAGCAGCCAGTGCTCTGACAGCCGCCTTCTCCAATCTGATTTTTGGAACAAGGGGAGGTAGGGGTGGGAGAGAAAAGCAAACTGGGCAACGTGGGGTAGTAGGAGGCGGAATAACAGGATCTGGTGGGGAAGGATAGGGGAAGAAGCCAAGGGGCAGTGCGGTAGTGACCTGGTTTGCGAAGGCAAGCAAGAAGCCTGTTGGCCTTCTGAAGGGCCCTAAAAAATTGGCTTCTCCTTCGGACATTGGGGCTAGGTTGTTCGTGGAGCCTGATACGTGCGAGTTGTGTGTGAAATGCCTCGTCTTTTGTCTTTTATATTTCTTATGTTAGATTTTTCACTGTATTTTTGTTGTTTTGTATTCTTCTGTATTGTTCACTGCCAGTTATTTGCTTAAGATGGGTAGCCATATACATTTTCTAAATAAGTGTTGTAACTGCTCTTTCTGCATAGGTTGGAAATGTCTGCAAAGAGAAACCACCCTGCCTTGAACCTGGGTTTGTGGCATTTTCCTGGAGCAGGGGCCAAGCCAGTTGACTGGCCAAGTTAAAAGCTGTTATTGATTTGATTTGTATTATATTTTTCTGCTGAAAGGGCACATAAGTACAGTAAATTATAATCATGTCCTGATACAAAAAAGATTATCTTTTTGGAAGCAGGATTTCACACTCCTGAATTGTAAATAAGATATACTCCTGAGTATGCATGTGCAGACAAGTGGTTTACTTTCATCAACCATCTTCTTCATCATCATTGTCCATCTACACATCCCTCATCAAAAATATTTTTTTCTAATAAACTTCTGTGTATTACTCTAATCTTCAATTCTACTGAAAATATATCTGCACATCATCAGTTATTGTATATCAATTATAATATTATCCTGCATATTTCTCCTTCCTCTTTTTTCTACCTTCTTGAAGCTGCTTGAGAATAGTGCGTAGTGGAGGCCTGGAGGAATTTAAAGCTTTTCATGAGGGCTGTACACTGCCTTCAGACAAAACACAAATCTAAATTAAACCCAAGCGGTCTACTGCAGAGGTACAGAGATGATTACAGAATCTCAAGCCACTCTATGCTGGGATAATGTGAAACAGGCAGGTTTTAACTTTTAGAAGTAATGTACAGATAAAATAGAGAGCCAGTCTGGTGTAGTGGTTAAGGCACCAGGTTAAAATCAGGAGACTGTGAACTCTAGTCCCCCCTTAGGCATGAAGCCAGCTGGGTGACTTGGGCCAGTCATTCTCACTCAGCCCTAGGAAGGAGGCAATGGCAAACCTTGCCAAGAGGCCCAGGCAGTTGCCAGGAGTCATCCCTGATTCGAAGGCATACACAAACAGAGGAAATGGTATTATTACTTTTTTTTGGCAGTTTAGTACATTTTTGGTAACCACTGGGGAAGCACAAGAAGAAGGGGATAATTCTGTAAAAAGTAGGTATAATTTCCAATATGGGAACAGCTGCAACAGATTTCTTCCAATTGTATGGATTTTGGGTGATTGGTTTTTCCATTATTGTCTTTCCTGTTAATTGGCTGTATCAGTTCTTGGAGGGAAGGGGGTTATATGTCAGTTTCTGAGAATACAAATCCAGGCCCAGTAATTTCTGGATTGAGGTCACACAGCATCTCTCTGTGTTAAATAGTAGATGTAATGTTCCCCTTGTATTGAGTAGAAGTATGCTTCATGGGAAGAAAATAATTTATTGTAATTTAAACTTTTCTACAAGTCCCTGATTTCAACATAAGAATTTAAGAAAAGAGATAGCCTGTTTACAGTTGTAAACAATTCTACTGTTTATTGACCAAGATAATGTTAGGGAAGGTACAAGAAAATAAATAGCTGAAGTATCAATACTTAATATGAAGTATTACTTGATTTGATATACTTGAAAAAAACATATAATAGCTAAATACTAAATTTAGACAAGGTTGATTCTATATATTTTAACTGGATTACAGACTGAGACTCAGAGATATGACTATCTTGATAATTTCTCATTTGAAACCTCACTCTTCACTTCTTCAACAAGTTCTCCAAAACAGAGAGCAGGCATTTTTATTTCCCTCATATTCCAGAACACTGAGAACAAAATAATTAGTATTTCTGCTTACCAGAACACTCCAAAGATATTGTTTCCATAGCTTATGTAGGGAGATAAGTTTTAACATATCTCCATTTTACCAGAAATCAGTATCTTATTAAATTTAGATTATGAGAAAGATGATTCATTACATCTTAACTGCATTCCAGATTGTGACTCAGTAATCTGAATTTTATTCATAGATGGTACAACATCCCTGTAAAATGGTATTTTCCAGAAATGTGGGATTAAAACTTCAAAAATTCCTAACCTCTACATATAGGCATCCATTCCTAACCATGATGATACTAAAATGACAAAAAGAACTTATCACAATGCAAACTTTGCTCTTTCATACTAGCACTGCAATGTCACATGCAAGTATATAAAGGCTGTAGTGCACATTTTGGCATATGCTCTGTCCTGCAGACATTTATGCCTACAAGCTCAGTGATGAGGGATTGGGAATTACAATTCTACAAGATCTGGAACTTGTCAGTTTGGAGAAGGATAGTTGTATAACAAATTTCACAACACTGAAATTGTGTCCACTTATAAACACAATATTACAACACAGAAGGCATCATAAGGGGGTTTACACAGGACAAATACTGAAATAGCAAAAATTAGTATAAACTGCATAGATTATTTTATTTCTGTAGATTTTCCATCAATTTGTGTAGCCTAACTTGGTAAAGGTTGGAGTGCTGATCTAATTTCATCTTCTTGAAATAGAGGCTCTTGTAATTAGGAGATTTCTTTTTAAGTAACTTGGATCTGTGTTGTACAGACTGTTAGTATACTGTTTCCATCTTTCTTTGATCTTTGAATCAGTTACTACTTGGCCACTGGCATCCTTTAGAATACCAATTTAAGTCTGGAGCTCTCTTCTGAGTCCAGAGATCTTGTGAGGGACTTTCCCTGTTTTTCTGTGACTGTTTCCATCTTTGAGGTCTTTAGAGATGTTGTTGTAATATTGTTTCTTGTCTCTTCTAATAGCTCTCTGAAATTCTTCTTTAAGTTCCTTCCTGAGATTTTTGTCTTCTTTGGCTTTGGCTTCTCTTCTTTTCTTGGAAATTTCCACTATCTTTTCTGACATCCAGTTTGCTGTCTTCTGTTTCATGATTTTTGACAGTCTCTTCACACACATCATT